TGTTCCTTCGGACAGAATCCATGACCTACAAAAAAAAACAAAGATAAATTTCTAAATCCTTAAAATGGTTAGTGAGGATGCGTATGATGCTTATGATGTTTATGATGTTAAGTACAAGTATATATATATACACACACAGCAGACAAGTCCCTATGTTTTAGGCTTGCATGGGGTTTTATAGGTAAGTACCCACTTGAAGTTTAGTTGGCTCAACCTGTCCTAGTAATAGTGATCGGGTTCTAAAGGATCTCAATATCACCGGCCTTTCTCTTAGGCATTGTCTCAGCACAATCAATCTTTTCTTGCAGCCTGGATATCCCAAAAGTCCAGCATCAATGAGTGTAGTATCGAGTATCAACCAATTTTCATCTCTACACCGAAACCAGTCATCTCACTGTGTCCTAATGGCCAAGTTGTTCAATTAGGGTTCTAAAGTCAATTAGTGCTTCACGACGCCACTCAGCGGCCATGTATTCTCCTCGATTCACCACCAGGGATACCGGTACCCACAAATGTGTCACACTAATGTAGCCATTGTTTCAACCATATTGGTCTACGCCGTACAGTTTCCACAATCTATTGCTACTTACCTAAAAAAGTGCCCCAGATCCGGGTAGAGGATCAAAATAAACCCAAACAAGGAACCAATAATGTAAAGCAAGCAATTTAAACAAATGAGGGCAAGTAAATGTGATCTAACCCTAAGGTAACCCCACTTTTAAGTAATTCCCCAGCAGAGTTGCCAGTTCTGTGATACGGTGGAAAAACTGACCTGGTTGTTTTGTGTTTTGTGTTCGCAAATGTTGCAGTTTAGCAAGAGTCGCCACCGACTTTTCTTTTATCCAAAAGGAAAGGTGAAAAAACACAGGAAATACCTTTAGATATGTTTTCTTGAGTTCGGAGGGTAGATTATGAAAAGGGAATATGTTAGCACCTTTTTCATCCATGGTTTTCTATGGGCTTTTAGTAACTCGCTAGATCACTTGCTTTTGTTTGAATGTGCTTGTTGTGTGGGTTTTGAAAGTATTTTGAAAACGTCTTTGTAATGGTTCTCGTTTCTATAAGAACGCGTACAAAGTGTTGTTTCGAAAATAGTTCAAAGATGTGTTTGTGGAATGTGTTTTTGAAAGTGATTTTGAAAAGGTGTCTTCTTTGCAATGGCTCTCGTTTCTATAAGAACGCGTACAAAGTGTTTGTCTTTTGAAAATGTTTCGAGATGAAAGTGTTGGTGTAAAAAACATTTTTGTTGTGAGCAAGCGAGCAACTAGGAGCAAATCTGCCTACTCAAAAGGTCTTTAATGTTCTTTTCCTCCTCTTTTAGATGTTGCTATCTTACCATTGTTTTGGTAAGAAGCCCCATCGTTGGATGTGAAGGGACAGGTGTTGGAACGTTTGTATAGTCATGATAGCAATGTTGTGAGATGACTTAGCATTTTTCTTTAGGGACTAAGATCATTTCGAAAGGCAATTTTGATAGCGTCATTGAGGGGCTACGATCTTATATTTTTTATTTGTTTGTGCTAAGACATCCCACATGCATAACATGGCCATTTTTAGGCAACAAGTGGAGTTAACCTTAAGGGTGTTAGTGTGCAAAGTGTGTTTGATTGCATGCATTTTGGTCTTGTATTTGAAAGGTTATCTACTTGTTGATTTTATCTTGCCATACATCCTAATTACTAGCAATATATGAAAGCAAGTAAAAATGCAGGAAATAAATCCTAAGTTATTACATCACTTTAGGGGGATGGGGGTATAAATTAACAATGGGGGTGAAATGGAAACTGAAATATTACAACCATATCGAATAATAATGAAAACAATGTAAAAACAGTGTAAAACAAAGGAAAAAATGCATTTTGAACTGCTATGTGTCGACCCATGTTGCTATGCATCGACACATAACTTTTCCTTTCCCCTGTAAAACTTGACCAAACTTAGTATGAGTCGATGCATACTGAGATGTGTCGACTCATACTTCTTGTATCGATGCGAAACGCATATGTGTCGACTCAAACACCTTTCACGTTTCTGTTTTGGAGATTTTTTACAGTATGAGTCGATGCATAAGGCTATGTGCTGACTCATACTCTGTTTTTTCACTTAGAAAGGGTCGACGCATGTGGGTATGTGTCGACTCATCCTGCATTTTTTGCCTTGAACATGGTTTTTCTTGTCTGTACAGGTTAGTTTACAGCATATGATGGATAAACATAAATAGCAAATGATTTGATAGTCTAAACATTAAGCAAATGACTAGTTCAAAGGGATAATAAAAATACTACATCTTATCTTCAAAAAAAACAAATCATTAATGATATGTGAAAAGATATCAAGTCAAGAAGACTTACCTTTAGGCTGCACTGGCTGTTTTAAATCTGAATGTTTTTCCAAATGTTGTGATGGCCCTAATGAATCTTCAGAAAGCTGCTTCGGACTGTTGAAACTAAGTTAGACTATACTGTAATGTTTTTGGTGTTTTGAGGGTGAAAATGATAGCACTACAAGGATTGTTTTTATATTTGGACAATCTTTGTATGTGATGAGGTGTTTGGTTTTATGGGAGAGTTTGTATGGTGGAGTAATGGGTTGGGGTCTTGTTTTGAATAAGAACAGAACTGGTTTGGAAATGAGTGAGTCAAGGTTACAAAGGATACTGTTTTTTTGCTCAACAAAACTCTCTATTCTCTCTCTCAATCTCCTTGCTTCCGAAAAAATCTCCCTTGTCTCTTATGAGACTATCCTTTTTGTAGACCCCTGACTGAGGTTTAGGGGGGAAACAAAGTAAGTTATTTTTGAATTATTTTTGCCTACTGTTTTGATACTTTCTTCACACAAATTTCTTTTGCCATTTTGGTGCAATCTTGGGGCTGTTATGATGCAGGTTTGGGCATACTACATAGAGCAGTTTTGGACTGTATAGGACAGCATATGCATACTTGTGGTGCAGTATAGCACAAGGTTTCTTGTAGGGCAGCAATGGAGCAGGTTTTGGGGTGTTGTGGCAATGTAGCATAACACACTTTGTTCAACTTGGACAGTATAATTTGTAGCATGACACAAATTTGGTCTTGTGGAATATTTTATACACATTATGTCAAGGGTAAAAATATTGTGGCAAGGTTCTTTTGAGAAAATTCAAACAAGACATAATTTTAGAATTTGTAATTTTGCAAAAATATCACTTTGTAATAACTTGAATTACTTGCATCATCTTGAATTATTTGGAATTGTAGTGAAGATGTCATGAAGTAAAAGAGATTAACCAAGTATAGAAAATACTTAGAAAAATTTCAAAGTCTTGCAAAGTTGGATTTTGATTCTCTTGATTTTTGATGATCAAATTTCATATTTTTGGATGTCTTGCCATAATGTGATTTTTGGGACTCAAATTTGGTCAAAAAAGTCAAAGTTTAACTTTTTAACGTCTGGTTGACTTTTTCCAGCTGAAACTCTGATTTTGCTCATTTTGCCCCATTTTGACAATTTGAATGATTCTTCTTAGAAAATTGTGATTTGAGACTTAAAACTTGACTGAAGTAATTGTAAGAGCCCTTGAGACATGAGAGGGCAAATTTTAGGGTACAACACGCGCTATTGAAAATTTGACCTTTGACCAACTTTCTCAAATCTTTTAATGGCTTTTCATCTTATATAGTACTTAGTCAAAGTTTACAAGACATCTAGAATACAAATGGATGCATTAGAAGAAAGTGATTCAAACTTGATTCTTTACCAAATCCATCACCAATTCAAGTGTTACAACATATAGTCATTACAAAATCTCCACTACTGTATCATGTTACGTTGCCAATATCCAAGGTTCCACCAAGGTTGCAATTAAAAGACAAAAAGTAAAGGACTTGAAGCTTAGACAAAATAAAGAATGTTTGGGAAACTTAAGAACTTGTCATGTAAGTCAAGAATTCACAAGATTACAAAGTGACAAAATTACACAAAAACTTAAATGTCCTAAAGTCTAAACCAATGTTAAACTTCATCTTTCATCTTCTCTACTAAAACTCAATGAACGTCATCTTTTTTAGTCATTGTTCAAGCTTCAAACCATATTGTGTTGCGCCAAAGCAATTCCAAGTGCATTGCTTGGCCTCGCCTAAACCATCTGCAAGATCACACCATGAACCATGTCCAAACAATTAACCATTAATTCACACATAGCCCTGTGAAAAATATCGAAACAGTCTGCTATCCATCATCACAAAGAAAACTGCTCAGCATTTGTGATTAAACCGAATCAGTTCCCCATGTTATCCTGCAAAAAAGAAATTAAACTGAATCCAAACATCAAAACCAGTTCAATAGTTTAAGAGAAAACCTGCAACAACCGAGATTTCACGGTTAAATTAGTTTAGTCTAATAAATAATCCAAATCTGATTTTAACATTCTTTGAACCAGCCCACACATTAACCAAACCCTGCTACAACTAGTCAATCTTCATTGTAAAACCAATTCAAAAAAATCAAGCTATAAGCTGCCTTGCATTTGTATAAACCATTCATGACAGAAAAATCAAATAAACAGAAACAGTTCACTTAACTAACAACAGAACCTCAAACAAAACCTCGAGCTCATCATAACAGAATTTCAACTTCCCCAACCGAATAAATCTTGACCATTGATTCATTAACTAATTTCTTCATATCCAATGGCTCAAAATAAAAGTTGCAACTAACTATTACTAACAGCTCAAATAGTTATAACAGAAAATAAAAGCAAGCTAACTCTCCTAACTGAATTCCAGCTCAGCTCTAACCAAGTAACCAACAGAATTTCAGCCTCCAACTAACTTCTAACTTCCCTATTTCAAACTAACCATAACAAAATTTAAAAAAACCCTCTAACTCATTCAAATCCCACCTTCAATTCTCTAACAGAAATCCATCATGAATGGATCAGATTTTGTTTCACCTCTAACAGACTCTGCTAAACATTAACAGAATATAAAACCAAAAATTCACCTTGCAATTGCTCCCTCTTCATGTCCAGGAGAAGCACACCACAAAAAAAAATCAGAAAACTCTCTACTCTCTACTCAACTGAATCCCCATCGATCTTCACCCATTCTTCATTCTCCTCAGAAGAATCACCAAAAACTCCAGAAAAATCTCTCTCAACTCTCTCTACATTCACGCTCCATTTTTCATCAACCTCTGAACGAAGCTCCTCATTTGTGAGTCAAGACCTTTCATCATACACCAATCTCTATCAACATCAAATCACATATCACTACATCACAAAATGGGACAGAAGAAGGAATCGCAGAATCAGAGAAGAATCGTACTTGGAGATATCTAGATATCTTCTCTGGTCGTCTTGCTTGTCGTCACTATGAAGAACCACCGGAGTTCTCTAGTAGGTAAGCTTTTACAATTTCTGAACTTCTGTGCGTAAATTTGTGGCATGTGTGTTATCCTTCGTTGGAATCAATATGATATTGAGGCTAAGGTGAAACCGGATCGGAAGAGACAAGGGAGTTTAAGGCTGCCGTTTTTTAGAAGAAGATGAGAGAAGGAGTGTTGCAGTGTCGGTGTTTGAGGAAAAGGTGGTTAACAACGGAAGTACAAGGAGAACGGCAAAGGGTTGAAGGTGTCGGTAGAGGCGTGTTCGATCTAATGAAGAAGAAGAAGAAGGTTGAGCGTCGAACGACATCGCTGCGAAATGTGAAGAGTGAGCGGTTATCATATTTTAGAAGAGGAAGATGAGCAATCACAAGACCTAAACACATCCTCTTCCCTGTGGTTGTATTTTGTTTAAATTTTTTTTACTTTCTTTCTAATAAAAGGTAGGTAATGTTTGAACCTAGAATGGCTGAAAATTTATGGTTGCAGACCAAACTGCATGGCATTAGGCCCATCAAGCACCATTTTTTGGAGTCTGAGAGTAATGTTACAAAAAAAACTTGTTGGACTTTACAAAATGGGCCTAGCGCCAGCTTACTGCACTTCACCTCTGACCAACCTTGCACCCCCCTGAGCTTGCTATTTCTTTGTTAGATTTAGGACTTTTTCTTTGTTATTCCTATGTGTGATCGGTGGATCTGGAACTGACTGTTTAACGCTGGTTCGCGAAATGTCGCGGAAGCAAGAGTCGCCGCCGTCTTTTATTTTCTCCAAACGGAAAGGACAAAAGCACAGAAAAATTCCTTATTGAGATTAGTTCTCGGTTCGGGAAGTAGATTTATAGAAAGGGAAGGTGTTAGCACCCTTTCTATCCATGGTTATCCATGGGCTCTTAGATACTTGCTCACTTGTGTTTTCAAAAGGTTTGTTTGCTTTTCAGAGTGGGTTTGAAAAAGTTCCGTTTAAAATTTCAGTTCGACTCTTGTATCAGTCCTCAAGAGTGTTTGAAAAATTGTTTTGAAAGCTTTTCGAAAAGTGTCGGTGTAAAAAGAAGTTTTGATTTGTTTTGAATTAGAGCAAGTATCTATGAGTCATCTACCTACCCTAAGGAATTAGTCTGTGTAAATGTCCTTAAAGTAGTGCCATCCCACCATTGAGAGGTAGGTAGCACCACCGTTGGAGGTGTTCGGGTCAATTCGTTCGTAGGGACAGTGTAGTCACCGAGCAACGGTAAGATACCTTAGGAGCTACCCTTATGCCATTGATCTTTTTATTCCGAGGCGACTGTTCCGAGGCATCTTATTCGAGGCAACTAGATCAATGGAACATAAGGACTCACTAAGACGTCCTGTACTCGACGACCACGTTTCGAGGGGCAAGGCAACAGTGTGGTCACCAGAGCAATAGGAAGACACCTTAGAAGCTACCCTCATGCCATGTTCATGGACATGAGGACTTACTAAAACGTCCTCTACTCGACGACCATGTTTCGAGGGGCAAGGCAACAGTGAAGCGTACCCTAGGAGTGGTGTGTGAATTGTGTGTCATTTTCAGCTTTTATTTGTCTTGTCATGCATTAGTGATCTACGCTTTGATTTTATTTTTGGCATTCATTCTTTCATGTGTTTTAACAGTTTAAAAGGTGCGGGAATTTAAAGTGCGGAAAGGATAAAGGTCATACGCTATTACAAAGGCGCGGGTCTACATCGCCAAATTAAACCAAGACCCAATTTGAAATAAATAAAATGCGGAAAGTAAAGATCCTAATTATCTATTACAAAGCTTTGGGGCAATTACATGAAATTTAAAAAGGGAAATAAAAGTAAATGTGCGAAAAGAAATAAAATCGAGAATGCGAGGGCGTTGGACCCTTTTAAAGAAATTAAATCGAAATCATAAATTAATTAAATTAAATAAAAGAAAGAACTTATTTTTTGGAGTTTTTGTATTTATGGAATTTAATGAGAAAATTAATTGGAATTAAAAGTTAATTAAAACCCTAGTTCTAAATGGTTTTTAATTTATTAAAAAATGTTTAAGTTATAACCTAATTTAACCCTAATTAATTAAATGGCATATTTATTTACAAAAATAATTAATAATTAAATATGGTGAAAAAGGAAAAAAAGAATAAAAGTATAAAAACCCTAATTTCTACATTTTTTAGTTTATTTAAAAAAAAATTAGAATTAAACCTAAAATTAAACTAATTAGTTATTAGAATTTTATTTACAAAATATTGATTAAAAAAATAAATGAACATATTTTTATTTTTCAGAGTTTCTGATTTTTTTGTATTTTTATGTTATAAAAAATTAATTTGTGGAATTAAATAAACAATTAATATAATTAAAATAAATGAAAGAAAAGAAAAAAAAGAAGAGAAGAAAATGCAAACAGATGGGGGTGTTGACCCAAATTGGAGGTATATGAGAAGCATTTTGGCCCACTGATTCTTGGCCTTTTTTGACTTTTCAATGATGCGCGTGGAGGTGTTGACTGGTGTCCATGGTGGACTGCCTGATCTGGCCATTAGATTGATCTCTGAAGCCATGTGGCGTGCCAAGGCGTTGGGCTTCATGGTAGTCATTAGAAGGGAAGCTGCACAGAAGCACATTATGACAAAAATTATAGGGAAATATGGGGGACCTGGGAATCGAACCCAGGTCCTAGTGTTTGAAGGACAACGCATCAACCAACCAGCCAAGCGCGTTCGTTTGTAAGATTAATGGAACGTGATTGATATGAGAGAGAATAAGTGCTATTGGTAAACATTAAAAAATGCGCGAATGTTTGAATGGCCCAGTCTGGTTGAGACACCTCAGCATCTTCTTCATGGCTGCTTCGTTTTACCTGAAAACATGAGATAGATAGTGGGGGTTTTAAACCCCCACTAAGTGAAGAACACAAAAATAGCGATTAGGCCCTGGGCTCATATAAATTGAGCGCGAGGTGTGGTTTTGAATCGTTGGAATGTCACGAATGCAATGGTGTAGGTCTTGCTGTCTAATTTTTCCATATGCAAAAGTCCCCAATTTCAAGCTTATGAAAACCTAGAAAATTTCCATGGCTGATTCTCGTACAGGGCACGTTAGTTCAATTCATTGGCACCATTAGCTTCAGTGAGTCCATGTTAGTGTAAAATAAGCATTAAAATGTATGAAACATGCGCATAAATCAAAATACGATTACGAAAGTTTCCATGAACAGGGCTATGGCGTTCTACCGTTTCTCTGCGCGTGGAAGCTTGGTTTCAATTGGAAAAGATTCCTGATCACCTTGGCAAGCTTCTGAAATTGTTTTGAGGCCTTGAAACACACTGTATCTATGTTTTCAGATTTGAGTTTCTTAAGAAAAAATGCAAGTTTGTTTTCAGGTTTTCAGCGCAGCATGCTTGTGTTTTTCATTAGGGTTGTGATGTATATGTATATGTCAATGAATTAGGTTTACAAAACCAGTCCAAAATCCATTTAATCAATGCTTTTGAATTTGTGATCTTCATGAATCTTTTTCAATCTTTTTCATTCCTTTTTGATACCAATCATTGCCAATTCTTGCCTTTTTGAGTATGCACAAAATCTTGAGTGAATGATGAATAGAAATGCTGCATAAAAAGATTTGAAAGGTGGCATTTAGTATTTTTTTCATATTTAATTTGAATTAAATGAATTAATAGATTTAAAAATTCAATTAATAAATTAAAAATAAGAAAATAACTCCCCTTTGGGTCAATGGGTCGTGCATAGCTTTTGGGTGATGATTCTTGGAAGAAATTGTGGCCCATTAGCAATTTTGAGGCATTTGAAGCAAAGTTGACTTTTCAAAATTCCCAAATATTTCCCAACTTCCACAAGGCATATCTTGCTCAATTTTTAAGCTTTGATCATGTTCTTGGACATTTTAGAAAGGTCTTGAAGTCCTCTAACCAATGCCTTTGGTCCCATGTCATTTTGATTTACCAATCTCAAGTTATGGTCTTTGACTTAAAGTGCCTTTTTGTTGACTTTTGAGAATGACCTATAATGTTGAGATTGATAACTTTTTGTGAGTGCATTTCTTGGACTTGAAGTGTGAAGAGGAGTTGTAGGGAATGTCATTCTCTTCAAAATGAGCTTTGTATGGAATTTTTCTGATAAACCATGTGGAAGTTATGCCTTGGTCAATTTGCAGTTGACTTTTTCAGCTGTCCAAATATGGAAACTTTTGCATCTTGAGACTTTTTGAACCATGCCTTGAGAATCATGATCAAGAATTGATCACATGATGTTTGTGGCTTCAAAATAAGATGTTGACCAAAAATTTGGACTTTTGACTGTCAAATGACCATTTTGCCCCTGCAATTGACTGTTGAGCAATTAGGTTTTTTGACTGTGCAATTTTGTGCTGTGAGTCTTGAAACCTTGCATCTGGATGCTTGACAATGTTTATAGGCATGTGGTACTTGTTTGGACCCTTGGAAACCTCAACTTCTTTGTCAGAACCAAAACCCTAATTTTGACTGTTAGGAGGCCATTGAACTGTGCAACCCTTGGGAGATTTTGAAGCATGCTCTTTGCAAATCTTGAAGAATATGGGAGGGCAAATTTTGGGGTACAACAGTTTCCCCTGTTCAATCTTCTTAAACCTGAGGATGTAGATTGGCTAACGTGCCTTTCGTAATCCGAAGGTGGAAGATGATTGAACACTAGAGTGCCCAGAAATTTGCGCTCACATGTTAGCAGTGTGATGATGGGAATGGGCTTATAGATGCCATTTGGAGATTGATGGATAGGAAGATGGGCTTACAGATGCCATGTTGAGAGGTGATGGATAGGTGGATGGGCTTATAGATGCCATCTGGGTGTCGATCGCGCAAGAGATTCCTTAGCGAGAACTTGCGTACCTGAAAAAGAAAATGATTACCTGGCCTGTTATCGGAGCTGGTATTCAAACTCTTTATATAGCCGCACCCTGGTTGGTTACAGGAATCGGGTCTGGAGCTTCAAACGGTGATGAATGAATCAGGGATGGTTACTACCTCAACGAGACGATGAGAGAACCTTGGACGATTACTACCTCAACAGTAACGATGAGAGAACCTGGGGCGATTACTACCTCAACAGTAACGATGAGAGAATCTGGGGCGATTACTACCTCAACAGTAACGATGAGAGAATCTGGGGCGATTACTACCTCAACAGTAACGATGAGAGAATCTGGGGCGATTACTACCTCAACAGTAACAATGAGAGAATCTGGGGCGATTACTACCTCAACAGTAACGATGAGAGAATCTTGGGCGACTTCAACCTCAACAGTAACGATGATAGAATCATGGGCGACTTCAACCTCAACAGTAACGATGAGAGAATCATGGGCGACTTCAACCTCAACAGTAACGATGAGA